AATAATAATAATAATAATAATAATAATAATAATAATAATAATAATAAAAATAAAAATAAAAATAAAAATAATAATAAAAATATATATTGTTTCACTCTGTAAAACTCTAAAAATCAGTGATGCTGTTTCTTTTCTTTCCTTCTCTCCCCGCTTCCTCCAGATGGATACCTGCTGTTTGATCAAGTCCCCCTGGTGGAGATGGATGGGCTGAAGCTGGTCCAGACCAAAGCTATTCTCAATTACATTGCAGGGAAATATAATCTGCTTGGGAAGGATCTGAAAGAACGAGCACAGTACAGTATTGCAATTCCTCATCTTAGACCTGATCCAAAATCTCTCCCTTAATATTACCGCATTCCCACATGCTCACCAATGTGCATTGACTGAAGGAGAAATAGTTTTTGTGGGCCAAGAAGAAAAAGGTTTTAGATCATTTATTTCTGGTGTAGTATATAAATTAGTCCTGGAACGCCTGGTAAATGTTTTGCCAGTCCCATGTCACCATTAACATTCTATTGGCACGTGCTCCTGATTTTTGCATCTAGTTGTGAGAAGTTAAATGAAGCAGCATCATTGGGGTTGTTAAGAGAGAGCATTGAAAGGTTATAGTATCTTTGTAATAATAGTCCAGTCCCCAGTCCCTCCCTCCAACCTACATCTTTGCACATTGGAAGCTATTAGGCTTTCTGTAAATGGCAATCATTTCCAGGGAAATAATTTGAGTAGTTCCCAACCTATTCCTAACCAGCCTTCTAAGATTAGGGCATCCCATTAGAATTTTTTTTATTTATTTCAAATTAATTCTATACCTTTTGTTAGATATGATTTTATTTATTCTACCAGCATAAATTTACTATTTATTATTTGTTATTTATTCTACTAGCAATTTTTTTTTTAAAAAAATGACTCTATGAATCATACAGCCGATTAAATGTCCATAGTAAACACCATTTAAATCCGAATGGTAAGCAAATATAGTATCATAATAATAACTAAATAAATCATGCAGCCAAAATGCAAGACAAAAATAGCCAGAGCAACAGCTGAAAAACAGCACAGCCTGGTATTAGCAGAAGTTTCTCCTGGAAGGAATGTGCCAGATGGACCAATTCAGATCTGCCATCATCAGGCTTCTGTATAGAAGCCTGATGATGGCAGATGAGATTCTGCTGAAACGTTGCTACAACTTTAAAAGCACAACCACTATGACGAGGGAAAATACCCGAACTAAGCTGAATGCCATATATCTATCTATCTATCTATCTATCTATCTATCTATCTATCTATCTATCTATCTATCTATCTATCTATCTATCTATCTATCTATCTATCTCTATCTCTATCTCTATATCTCTATCTCTATCTCTATCTCTCTATCTCTCTCTCTCTATCTATCTATCTATCACCACCCGAGTATGAGTTCATGACCAGATTCAAAAATTTTGTGAATTTTTTGGTCGGAACCCGATTTGTGACCAGGGGTGTTCGTGACCAGAGGTTCTACTGTATATGAATTATGCATGCCATCGTGAGTTAAACCAGAATTTTGAATTGCATGTGAAAATCTAATGACAACAATGGAGATATCAAATCACGGGTATAATCAGCCCTTGGTGAATATTGGCTAACAATCAGACTATGGCATTTTGTACAAACTACAGTTGATGTGTGATTTTTCAGAGCAATCCCACACGCAATGAATGCAGAGATGGTATTCAGCAGGTTCTGACCAGTTCTGGAGAACTGGTAGCGGAAATTTTGAGTAGTTCGGAGAACCAACAAATACCACCTCTGACTGGCCCCGCCCCCATCTATTCTCTGTGTCCCAAGTCCCAGCTGATGGGCTGGGTTTTCTTTTGTTGCCCTGCAGGGGAGAACGGAGCTGGAAAGCAGGTTAGTGGGATGGGGAGTGAATGGGATTTTGCAGTAACCTTTCCCCCAAGAGTAGGGAGGGAATGGAGATTTTATAATATCCTTCCCCTGCCACACCCACCAAGCCACACCATGCCCACCAAGGGCTATAATTGACATACCAGCCAATGAATCCAAGACAAGTGTTAAATCCTGTCCCACATTTTATAGATACTTCCCCTTCCTTCCCTCCCATAAAAAGGTGCATTTTGAAAAGCTAGTAGGTTAAATACCAAGTTTAACATTATGTGTAATTTGGCTTTTCACCTAAAGCCATTTGTACAGCATACTTTTTTTAAAATGTCACATTTGACTTCTTGCATAATTTGGTTGTCTCCTATCCATGATCAGAGCCAATAACTTGAAAAAAGAAATGCTTTGCAGGAAAGAGACCATTACCTTCGACCTCTCACTGAAAAGCTCAGCTTTTCAAAAGGGAGCAATTAGCTTCCTTGGTGAAAGTGCAATTTACTATTCTGGACTGCAATCCAGTGGCCTGTCTAACACAAGAAAGATCAAAATCAATTTTAGATAACCTGTAATTTTATCTGCAGGACAGCCCTTCTGTCTTTCCTTGCAGAATATAATGCATATTTTCCTCTTTCTTTGGTACAAGCAAGTTCCACTATCACATTCAAAGTTGATTCTGTAATCCTCGTTTTGGTCCGATTGCCAATATCAATATTGGCTTTGCCTGTCTGAACCTGCCCTGTCAATCCTGCTGACAATCCATGACTCAGGTTTTTTTGTGTAGAAATGGGACCAGAGGTAACGATACCAGTTCTGCGCACAACCAGACAAGCAATTGAGTGAAGGTAGAACTGGAATGGTCTGGTTTTGCAGCTTTTCTACCAACAAATGAAATAATTGTGAAAGGGGACAGAATTCACAGTTAATTCCTTCGTTCATAGAATTTGGGGAGCAATGATTATGCTGGCTTGGAAAATCCTGGAGCAGGAGATATTTTATATTTTTGCGGATTTTAGAAAATGTAGAAAATGTGCTGGTTGGGGAACACTGTGCCATCGCATAGTTCATGTGATATGCATCCTGTAATTTTATTTTATTTTTTCAAATAATTTTATTGAAGGGTTGAATAAAACCATAAAAGATAACAGAGGCTAAGAGAAAGGAAAAAATGACAAAAATATTTAAAGAGAATAGAAAGCCCTCCTGCCCTTAGAAAATGACTCCTGACCCCTTTGTGATGACCATAAACGTCACCTTTTCTTGGGTAACAAATATAAAACTCTTCATAACAACTCTGTTATTCTCTTATTTATTCTCTAAATGCTATTATAAATTGTTTGTCTTTTAACTCCAAACTCTAGCAATTTGTCTTTTCTAGAAACATACGCTTAATTTTTTGAAAAATAATTTCAAAATCTTCATATTTAAAGTCCATATATTTAAAGTTTTTGAATCCTCAGAACTTTCTGTAGCCAAAACCTTACATTGACTTTTACTGTTTATTTTAAAAATTATAAAGGTACATCTTCATATTCTTATATTGAGGATTAAGAGCATTCATTCTCCAGTGTTTTCAATTATGTCATTCTGAAGGTGTTTAATTTTTTTAATCCATTAATAGGTGGTTCCCTATTAGGCATGACCATAAGAAAAAGAATGATCATAACAGAAACAGCTTGGGCAATCTCACATCATTCTCTTTGATCCAGGGATCAAAGATTGCTGATCTGCTTTGGATTCCTTGTACAAAGTTGCAGTTGTCAGCTCTGCCTGTGAAGTTGTCTTCAGTTGGCCATCTCTCCCCTTAAGACCTCATTTTTCAGTTTAAAAGGCTGGGAACACACAACTTGTGCAAAGTTTTTGTACTAGCCATCTTTCCCTCTTTTATCTAATAGCCATACAGTAGTTCACTGTTTTTGTGTTACTCCATGGGAATAGAGGCGGAGACTCAGGGAGGCAAGTATGTATACAGGCCACTAGAGCTATCTCCAGTTTCCAGGTAAAGTGGATTACAGTGCCCATCATTCCAAGCCAGCATCGTCATGTTTAGCCCAACACCTTTTGAAGGAATCAGGCACTTGCAGAGAGTGGTTCTATTTGATAGACCCTGTTCTTGATACAATTATTCTCGGGCAATTGTCTTCTGAAATTTCTTCCACAGTCCCTATTGTCAGTGGAGTTGTCCTTTATTTGTTTATTTGATTTGTCAATCGCTTACAAGATAATAGGTATAAGTATATAAGAATACAGGAAATAGGTACGAATAAATGGGGACAATAGAACAGGGACGGTAGGCATGATGGTGCACTTATGCATCTTATTCATCTCTAAGCTCTTCAACAGTGAAATATGTAAGCGAGGGCAAAATAAGAAGTCTCTTTTTAGTGCACATTTGAGTCCATGCTCACAAAGGCTATGGTTTCACTCCATCACAGCCTGCCATCTTGCACTGAATTAGCTTTGGTCAGAGTACAGTGTTTCTGTTTTTCCAGTCTCAGTGGAGAAAAAGAGCTATGGCATATTTACGAAAGCCATCAGATAGAGCATTGGGCAACTGTAGTACAGAAAATGGCCCCAGACAATGACCCTTTTCAGGAAAATAGGCATTTCACATGTGGCTGGGGATCAGCTGCTATAGCCAAGACAAGATTTCTGCAGCAAGCCAAGATGACATCAAAACGACAACATGCCAGGTGACATCGTGACACAAATCTTCCCATTAGATATTTGAGAGTCCCAATGTCTGACACAAGTATGTAGACAATAGTAAGCTGTTAAATTTAATGCTTGTTGAAGTGCAATGTAACATTTCTCCTGTCTATCTTCACAGAATTGACATGTATGTGGAAGGGACCATGGACCTGATGAACCTTATTTTGCTCTATCCCTTTACTCCACCTGAGCAAAAGGAGAAGCAACTTGCTGCCTTTATTGAAAAAACTGAGACCAGGTACCTCCCAGTCTATGAAAAGGTAGGCCCACACTTAACATTTCTTCTAGCAATTATCCCTTCATGTAGACCAATGGCATTGGCTTTAGAACATCCACGCATACACGAAAGGCAGATTTTTAGGCATTTTTCTTTAAAATATCAGACTGTTTTTGTCTTTCTCCCTTTGAAATATAAGCCACGTTCACACAGTATCCCAGGCAGTTAGGTATTTTGCTTAGGTTTAGCTTTACCTGTTATTTGAAGCAGCCAAATAGTTTGTTTAACCATGTATTGTGTGATTCCAGCCTAAAGTACACTGCTCAAAAAAATAAAGGGAACACAAAAATAAGACATCCTAGATCTGAATGAATGAAATATTCTTATTAAATACTTTGTTCATTACATAGTTGAATGTGCTGACAACACATCAGCTTCCTGGTTTGAACAAATGATGTATTTAAATTACATTATGAATATGAATCACTGGAAAGTGACCTTTGAAGAAGATATGGTGAGCAGAAGATGGCTCTGTGAAAGTGGAGCCAATCACCATGACAGAGGTCAAAGAACCGGTGAATAGACCAGTTCCTTGGAACCTCTCCAGATAAGGAGAGGATGGGAAATGGCCCACATATGCTCCAGATGGTGAGGAGACTAGGTCAATGATTTTCCACGGGTTTGAAGATGAGATCAGCCAGAGTTAAGCCTTTTAAAGGACACTAAGTTTGCAAGCCTCATTTTAAAATCACATTTGAAATTGCCTATTAACCACCTTAAAGTTATTAGAGACTTTTTGCTGACAACAGGATTGAAAAGTTGACATTTTATGGATTTGCTTATAGATAAAGAGACGAGATATGTGATGAAGAAGTATCTGTTTGTAATCTTATAGGAGACGAAGAGTAACTAAATATGTGTATACAAGGGGTGAAGATTGTTTTTTTACTTCTTTATAAATTTCTTTTCTTATTCTTTATTATATTTTTCCCTTTTTTGCATTTTTAATTATTTTTTCTCTTCTCATTTTTCTAACTTTAGTTTGTATTAGTTTTTACTAATGTAATCAAAATTCTTAATAAAAATCATACTTAAAAAAGAACAATTGAAAAGCTGAGGGGAGCTAAGCCATTGATTAAACTTTGGGAAATACAAGAGTGTTTCTGATTATTAGCCTTGTATGAACTGTTAATAATTGTGCTATATTTCCTCTTTGTTTTTAATAATATCCATTATTAATTGCTTTCCTAACTGATTTGGATTTCTGCCCCAGAATTTAAATAAATGTGACAAGACATTCAAGGAGTCTTCTTTCTTCTTCTTTGCTTCCAAATATTTTTTCCATTTTAGCATTTGATATGTATATACGCATGTTTTATTGTATAGAGAAACTATTCTTTTTGGTCCCTATTAAATAACCATAGGATGCTTGTAGTAGGTTATAAGCAGGGGTGGGATTCAAAAATTTTAACAACTGGTTCTGTGGGCGGGGCTTAGGTGGTAGGCGGGGCTTGGTGGTCATGTGACTGGGTGGACATGGCTTGGTGGTCATGTTATTGGCCAGGTGTGGCCAACTCAATATCACTCACATCGAGGCACGCATCTCCTCGCCTGGCCTCTCATGACTGTGGGGATGCTGCAACAGTCGTAAGTGTGAAAAACGGTCATAAGTCACTTTTTTCAATGGTCACTCCACACAAGCAAAGTACTAGCAAAGGAGGAGGAAAAAACTCCAGAGATGTTCCTGAGACAGGAAGTCTAGTTCTGCCAAGAATGTAATAAGGGTTAACGGAGAGACAGTTTCTGTAAGCAACACCAGAATGTTTCCTTTCTGCCTTCCTTACAGGATTAGGCCAGTAATTTCTTCTAACAACCGGTTCTCCGAACTGCTTAGAATGTTAACAACCGGTTCTAGTGAATAGGTGCGAACTGGTAGAATCCCACCCCTGCTTATGTTATGTTTCTTCTGAGGAGAGTAAATTAATAATCAAAACTTTGGACACAGTTCAGTTAATTTACCTTGTGGTTCAACTGTGAGGTTTTTATATTTTATAGGCTCTGAAACATCATAACCAAGAATTCCTAGTTGGTAATCAACTCAGCTTGGCAGATATACAATTGCTTGAAGCAATTTTAATGTTGGAAGAGAAAAAAGCTGACATTCTTGCACCATTCCCTCAACTACAGGTAATCTAGTAGTGATTATCACACCAGCTGTTCCTCGCATAATATAAATAAACATGCTGGATCTGACTTACGCTGTCACTTAAGCCACAAATGGGAGATCATAGGCACTGAAGTTCAGCAACGGGGATGATGATGATGATGATGATGATTCCATTTTGCCCACAAGAAGGAACTTTGTGGGTAGTTCAAGAACTTGTGCCAGAAGACTCTGGAGGGCCTATTTGAACCATCTGTGTTTGAAGGATTTATTATTATTTTTTCTAAAATTGTTTATATCTACCAGTGGATTCACAGGGTTGTTTAGGCAGATAGAAGGGAAGGGCTTAATGTATCTCATCTTCCTTGGTTTTCTCCTGTACACCTTGAAGATGGGGACAAGGTGCTTGGGTAAGCTTGGATCATCATATGTCTTTTAGATACAGTTCTCTTTTGACTATTGGTAATAGTGTCTGGAACAGACTTTTTGAAAACAATAAATTATGCCTTTGTCAACCAAAGGATGGCACCATCTCTGATGGAGGCAATTCTACCTCTGTTGAAAAAAACCATTGCCAGATTCCTCCCTTTTTATTAACTCTAGGGCAATTTTAAATTTGTCATTTCTGGCCAAGATTGTGGAATGAATAGTGGCCAAGCAGCTTATTTATTTATTTGATTTGTCAATCGCTTACAAGATAATAGATATAAGTATAAACATGAGTAAGAATACAGGAAATAGGTATGAATAAATGGGGACAATAGGACAGGGATGGTAGGCACGATGGTGCACTTATGCACACCCCTTACAGACATCTTAGGAATGGGGTGAGGTCAATAGTGGTTAGTTTGAGGTCCTTCTAGATGCAAGTGATATTTGGGGTCCATTTCAGGCTGGATCATGGCATGAGATGATAACAGGTTGCTCTAACAATCTGTTGAAGGAGCACAATGCTAATCTTTCTCTGCTTAGATTCCTGGATTGACATCTTTGAATTTGGATCCTTCCAAATTGCCTTGAGAAGTTGGAACCACACTTTAATCACATGTCCTCTCTTATCTCAGGGGCATTTTCAGATTATAATCTTGAGGTAGCCTCTGAGTTTTTATTCATCCTCCTGGGAATTTTATATCTATATGAACAAGTTGGGAGAGATGATCAGAGTCTTCCAGGCTATCTAGTGGGTGTTTATTTGGCCTGTATTGCAGATTGAGTGAATCAAGTAGTCTAAAGCTGAATCCAAACAATGCAGTGTACATGATAGGTGGGGGAGTCAGTTCAAAGAGATGGGACTTTAGTTTAGTTTCTTTTCCTTTCAAGGAGCAGTCATGCAACCTGGGCATTGTTCTTGGACACTGTGCTTTCCTTCAGCACATAAGTCAACACAGTGGCAAGGAACCACTGATGAACAAATGATCTCTCAACTATTTATTTACCCAACTTGACCACTATTATCCATGATCTGACCACTGTAACCCATTTGAAGGGGGAATGCCTTGAAAGAACCCTGAAAATTACTCTGGATCCAGAATATGATGGCCAAACTTCTGTCAGTTGCTTCTATATGAGAGTATGCAACACCGTTTGGCCAAGTTGCCCTGGCTATGTGTAGATGTCTGGATTATACACAAGGTGCCTTTTTATCTATAAATCTCTAAAACCTTAAAACCTGCTTAACTGCAGAAATAGTTTGCCCCATTTTAGACCTTTCTTGGCAGAGTTGTTAAATGAATCACTGCAGTTGTTAAGTTTGTGACATGTTTGTAAAGAACATCTGGCTTCCCCATTGACACTGCATGTCAGAAGGTCGCAAAAGTTGATCACGTGACCCCAGGAGCTGTCATAAATACATGCCATTATCAAGCATCCAAAGTTTGATCATGTGATCATGGGGATGCTACAATGGTTGTAAGTGTGAAAAACAGTCATATGCCTCTTTACAGTGCTGTTGTAACTTTGAGCAGTCACTGAACAAACTATTGTAAGTCAAGGACTACCTGTATGCTCCTTCCCTGGTTTGTTCAAAGAAAAGGCTCAAGCCTTCTTGTCTCAGGAATTTGCATTTCCTGGGTGTAAACAGCAGTAGATATTTAGTTATATTTGTACACGTTTTTGGACATTATTTTATTTACAGATTTCTATTGTGTTTTGAAGTTTGACTGTGTTTTATGATGGCTGGGTTTTATCAATGCTTTGGATTTATGTTGTCAACCACTAGGAGCTGTCTTGGCTTGAGAATGTGTGGGTTATAAATTCAATATGATTAACATTGCTTATTTATTGCTTTAGGCTTTCAAAGCAAGGATAAGCTCTTTTCCCACCATTAAGAAATTCCTAGAACCCGGAAGCCAAAGAAAACCCATCCCTGATGATGCTTATGTAGCTGTTGTGCTGAAGGTTTTGCAGTTGAAGTTATCGTAACATCATGTCTGCTTGCCCGAGCATCAGATAACCAGACCCAGCACAAGCCAGCAAGGTTTCCATCAGGCAACAAGGAATGCACCCCAATCTTTATAAGCTGTCTCAAAGGATTCCTTTGATGACTTAACCTCAAATGGTGGTCCATCTCCCACCCTGGTTTATATGCAATGATGTTTGGCCACAGAGCATCCCCACAGTTGTTTATCATGACACAGTGCTTCCAGATGTGTTAAAGGCATGGAGCTTGCCTACCCCTCATCTGGGTGATAATTCAAAACCCTCTGTTTGTTTTCTTAAAAGCAAAAGATTATCTGCTGGGATCAAAAATAATAAATGGCTTACTCTTTGGTGCAAATAGTTAAGTGTATTAAGTTCTTGCATTCAAACAATTTGACATAAAGAAATTTTTTTTCTTTCTCCTGGAAAATGACCATCCATCCATCCATCCATTCATATATGTTGCTCACGTACAGTAGAATCATAGGCCTGGAAGAAGCCATTGAGCTCAGTACTATAATTCAAATTGTTTGTTTACATTTATCTACCACCCAATTCTGGTGGATTCTGGAATTCAAACTTTGACAGATGGCTATGAGGTCTCTGCATAAACATGCCTAGTAAAGGAAAAGTGATTTTGGTGTTGAACAGCTCTTATTTTTAAAAAGTTTTTTCTGGACCTTCACCTAGAATCTGCTTCCGGTAGATAAGTGTGCATGGGAGTGTGTATAAAGTCATTTGACTCCAAAGCTCATCAGCCCAATTGACATAAATAGTAATTAGAATTGAATGGGAGCTATGCTTCATCTGTGAGGGGTCATGGGTTATCCATCATTGCTTCAAAAAGATTTTATCCCAATTCAACCCTTAAAGCAAAGATCGTGTCTGCTCAGAGTTACTGTTTCTGCTGTTCCTAAAATTAGAGCAAATTAGTCTTGATCTTAAATCTGATAAGTCTTGAAGACATTGATTATAATTCATTACTAGCTTAAAAATGAGTGTTTCCCAAACCAAATTCTACCACAAAATTAATTTAATTATGTTTAACATTGTGATTCAAACCTGTTTGAACCAATCATTTCAAAACTGGTGGGGGCTGTTGGGTGCCCATGGCAGACTGATATCACCAGTAGGCTTTCCTAGGAACCTGCTAGCCAGTATCTGCATGGAAAAATTTGCATGGAGGCCTTCCAATATTCTATGCAGGGCTTCAAGGGCTAGATAAATATCTATCTCCAAAACCCAAGAAACACATGTTGAGACTCTTTTAAGCAGTTTCCTTTATTGTTACTCATCTATAGACAACACTCTTGCCCAACTAAACCAATTACTTGCACCATAAAACATATACCCTGGGAACTATTAGGGAGGAGCCGTCTTCACTCTCTTTCTCCCAAACAAACTATCTAAACTGTGCTGTCTCTTGGACCTCTGGAATGCCCTCCCTCCCTCCTGGGAATCCAGGCAACATTTCATCACAATTTTAATTTGTCCAATGGAGAAATTTTCCACACTGCAGTTTTAAATTGCCCAACTCCTGTGTATAAAGTACCTAGGGATGAAGACAGCTTAAGAATGGAAGGCAAAAAGGGGAAGGGGATAGAGATGATTAGATAGTGTAATTGGTGCAATGAACATGAACTTGGGCAAACTGGAAATGGGGGGGGGGACGGGGAAGCCTGGCATGCTGTGGTCCATGGGCTCACGAAGAACTGGACATGACTTAGCAAATGAACAATAACAGCAAACCAGAGGTGGTATTCAGCAGGTTCTGACCAGTTCTGGAGAAACAGTAGCAGAAATTTTGAGTTGTTCGAAGAACCAGCAAATACTACCTCTGACTGGCCCTGCCCCCATCTATTCTCTGCCTCCTGAGTTCCAGCTGATCAGCTGGGTCTTCTTTTGTTAGTGGGATAGGGAGGAAGTGGGATTATTTCAGTATCCTTCCCCTAGGAGAGAATGGGGATTTTACAGTATCCTTCCCTTGTCACGCCCACCAAGCCACGCCCACAGAACCGGTAGTAAAAATTGTTGAATCCCACCACGGCAACAAAGGTCCTACACGAGGCAAACATTTTAAGCAAACTATTAACCAACCGACAGGGATCCGACAGGGTTAACTACCGGTTCGGTGATTTACGATGTGCTTCCCTGCATGCTGCAGGCATGTGTAAATCTTCGTCACTTGCTGCCTGGACAGCTGAGCAGCACTGCATGCAAGGAAGCAGCATTTGAAAAAGCACTTTTTTCCTTCTTTTTCAACCGCAGCTGTGCCTCGCACAGCAGCTGAGGTTGAAAAAGCAGGAAATAAAGGTGAGGAAAGAGCCCGGGTGGGCAGGCGGACCAAAACAACAGCAGACATAGAACCAGTTCTATGTTAGGTGCTTTTCAGAGCTACTGGTTCTACAGAGCTGGACAGAACTGGTAGAATCCCACCCCTGCAAAGGATCTTTTTATGTAGAGGGCTTTTCTTGGTTTACTTGCCTTGAGGGCTTTTCTTGGTTTACTTGCCTAGTGACTGAAGAAGGTTTAAATGAGGTTATACCAAAAAACCCAAGGAGGTTTAGAGGCAATTATACCAAAAACAAAATGCTATATGCCTTTAATAAACCTGCCCAGGCAGTTGCATAACCAAGCTGCATCATGCTCTGTGTGAGGGCCAATTTTCCCCAATGTTGATTGATTTGAAAGCCAGTTCTTCTGGGGAAAAAGCCCAGAAATTCTTCTGTTGGCCACCGGTGAAGTTCCTCCTCCATCTGGGCTGCTTCATATCTCTCTTCTATCAGAAGGTGGAGCTTGGGAGCTTTATATATTGAAGGAGTGTGGAATACTTCACTTGCCCTAAGAAGAACCTGCACTTACTGAGGCTTTTCAGCAGGTCAGTAGTCAAACGTAGAAACTTGAGAAGGAAGTGGTGGTAGGGGCAATCCTGTAATCTTAAAGCTTGTCATCTTTGTGCTTATTGATTGTCAAAATGTTATTTAGTGTTGATTAATAAACCAGGATGGAAATGATTGCAAGATTCTTCTCTGAAGGTCCAAAGGAAGTGTTGGGGGAAAGAGCAGAATTATGTGGAGCTAAAGAAGGATTTGTCAGAAATAAAAACTGTCATGGGTTTATGAGTCTTTGAAACCAACATGTCTTTCAGGTTAGGTGAACAAAGTGTTACTCCGTTAATTCTTTTAGCAGAATTGCATTAATAAATAGATGTTTCAATCCTATGCCTGCTTATCTATGAGGTAAGGGACATTGAACTCAGTAGAATTTCCTTTGGAGTAAACATATATTTGATAATGCTCATATTTACTTGTCACTAGTCCAAAAGATAACCAGTTACTCCCAGTGGAGTAGAGGTGGCGGGGGTGAGAATGCATTTCAAGTAGCTATTCTGGATTGGTCTTAAATTGTTGCACGTGACAAAGTTTTACAATAGTGAAAATATCATCCCCAAAAAGAGTGGAGGGAGAGGGGAAGGAATGGTTATAGTTTTGTGCCTACAGGGGCACAAACACCTGCTCAAGATAATATGGATATTTTTTTTTTTAAAAAAGTTGCTGCTATAAAATTGTTTCTTGCTAAAACCAATGTATAAAGGAGCATTTCAAAATGCAGATTCCTCTGCCTGAGGATATCTGTATCTTCATAAGATTTACATGTATATATTTAATGTAGTAGGTGTCAGGCTCCCAAAACCAATAAAGACAAATGGAGTTATTTCTAAACAGTTTCCTTTATTGTTGCTCACCTATAGACAAAAATCTTGCCAAAATAAAGCAACTACTTGCATCATTAAAAGTGTTCTCTGAGAATTGCTAGGAGGCGTCTTAACTCTCTTTCTCCAAGCCACTCTATCTAAACTTCATTGTCTCCTATTCCTCTGGAATACATTCTGTTGCTCCTGGGAATCCAGACCACCTTCCACTACACAGGATAACAGTTTAGTAAGACCATGGCTGGAAAACCAAAGCTTCACTACTTCAATGGAAGAGGGAGAATGGAAACCATAAGGTGGATGTTGACTGCAGCTGGGATTGAGGTGAGTCCTCCAAACTTCTCTTACTTAATAAGGTTTGTTTTGGAATCTATTGCCGCCAATGTGGATAATCTGTTTCTCTCGATTTTGAAGATAAATGTTATCATTTTCAACCAACACATCTACATTTGTAAGACCCCTACATTAGGGGCTGCCCTACCATTAAGTTATTATTATTAAAATATAGGCAAAAGACATGGCAGCAGATTTATGATTTAATGTGAGGAAAATAAGATAAGAATCTAGATTTGGTATCTGAGCCTGTCAGTGTTTGTCAGGCATTTATGAAGATAAAATGGAGAATTGTGTATGTCGCCCACTCAAAAACAAAATATGCGACAAGGCAAATAGTACATTTTTGCATTTTGTACTCTCAGAAGAGCCACTTGTGGCATATTTTTTTTACATCATCATCCACTCTTAAAAATAATGATTTAAAGTGATGGAGAAACAACAGCTGATTAATTCAGACATAACCTATTTCACTATTTTAGTTCTCAGATACAAATCTGTAATGGGCAAATGAGCTACAAATACCATGATGATGACATTAGGGAAATCCATATTTTCCCCCCTAAAATGTAGTAAGTGATTAACTTCCACTACTTTATCATCATTAAGCTTGTGGCTCATTTGTTGGGTTCCTACCCCATGTTAAACTATGCTTCTCTTAGACATGGCTAATTGGCTGGGTTGTCACAACTTAAGTCAGTAAATCCAGCTCTGCAACTCCCTCTTGGAATAGGGAGTTTCTTTTTTTTTTTTTTTTTTACAAATCTCTGCCGGGGATGATGGACCTTGGAATGAATTTGGCACTTGCAATTCTTTTTGGAAGTAATGGAAACCTTTTGTCTTTTCCATTTACTAGTTTGAAGAACAATACATTGACTCAAAAGCAGCTCTTGAAAAGTTAAAAAACGGTGAGCATAATGTTACTGTGTTTGTGTGTGTTTGTGTTCAACATTCAGCAGAATTCTCACATTAGACTTTTGATGTAAATATTAAGCAAGTGACTTCTTCTCTGAAGTAAAGAGAAAGAATTGAAATTTCTAGCATACCCTAACAGAGGTGGGGAACGATGGCCTCTTTATGACCTATGAACTGAGCCAGCATGGAATTCTGGGAGTTGGAAGTCGAAAAGTCATAAAAGGGCCATTGTTCCCCACTGTTGCCCTATAAAATGCATCTCTGCTCACCTGTCATGCTAATAATTGGGGAGAACCCTTCCATTAATGTGTCCTTTTTCATTTACCAGATGGATGGCTGCTTTTCCAGCAAGTGCCCATGGTGGAAATTGATGGGATGAAGCTGGTGCAAACACGAGCCATTCTCAATTACATCGCAGGAAAATACAACCTCTATGGGAAGGACCTGAAGGAGAGAGCACTGTAATGTAACATTTTATAACTATTTCCTATAATTCATATGAGGAGGAACAGGCAGTTCTTGGCAAACCATGAGAGCTGGCGTGTGTTCGGCTGACATAGCATGAGTCAGCAAATTTTGGTTCTCAGTGACTTCCAAGTAGGACAGAAGCCTTGTGCAAAAGGCAGTTCATTTAAACGAGATCATTAGAAGTCAGGGCATTCCTTGGTGCTATTTCAGCCTGGTAAATTAGCTCTGTGCTCCTTTCCTAGGTTTTCCTGTATTTATTTGCTTCTAACATCACATTAAAACAGCTGTTTCCCCTCTCCCTCCCTCGAGTTCTTCTTAATTGAAAAGATGGCTTTTGGAGATCTTCTGGGCTAAATAGCATCCAAATCTTTCTCTGCCAAGGAGTATGGTTGGGTACCACTCCTATGGTGCTAAATGGGTATCCTAGAACCCCCCCTTTCCCTTTCTTTGTCTGGAAAGGAGTAGCAGGAAGAAAACACTAGCTAAAGGAACATCAAAACTTACAGGAAAGGAAGTTTCACCTGGAAAATTCAGTATAAACGGAAGCACGTTGCAAATACACTTCAGACACAGGTAATCCTTGACTGACAACAGTTTAGTGATGTTTGAAGTTACGGCACTAAAAAAAAAAACACGATTTATGACTGGTGCAGAATCCCCACGGTCACATGATCAAAATTTAGGCACCTGGCAATGGGCCCTTATTGATGATGGTTGCAGTGTCCCAGGGTCATGTGATCATTTTTTGTGACCTTCTGACAAGCAACGTCAATGGGGGAGCCAGATTCACCAAAGAACCTTGTTACTAACTTAACAATTGCAGTGATTCACTTGGCAAGAAGAGCAAAATGGAGTAAAATTCACTTAACCACAGTGTTGCTTAGCAATAGAAATTTTAGTCAATTATGGTAGCAAGTCGAGGACTACCATGCCTGATTTTAAGCTACATCCATCCTATTAAGGAATGACTAAATGTCATACAGTATATTATTGTCAGTACAATGCAGGAGATACAAAACATGTGAAGTGTGACAATTACTTGAAACTGAAATACAAAGTTCTATTGATGCTTTTAATTGATGGTTGCATAATTGAAATTGTATTGGAAGTATTGTATTACATTCTTGTATTGGAAGAATGAACCGAGTCATTCCAACAACTCTGCATCTGGAATTCAATGGGGGGAGCTCTGCATTCACAGCTGTCTAGACTCACAGGGATCTCTTTTTTCATTATCAGGATTGACATGTACTGTGAAGGTACTGTAGATCTCAACGAGGGAATTATGTTGCTTCCGTTCAAGCCAGCTGACACCAAGGAAAAGGAGTTACAGACAATCCTGGAAAAAGCCTCCACCAGATATTTCCCAGTCTATGAAAAGGTAGGGTGAAAAATGGAAGCTAAGGTGATGGACATTGTGATTTCAGAAATGGAGCACAACAAACAGCAGCGACCCTAGCATTTCTTCTTCAACTTGGTGTAGACCAATTAAAAATGCTGGGAACTCCCCCCAGTGAGAGTACATTCTGCCAACTTCATATCTTCAGTAAATACTTTCCTCTGAAGGCCTGGCAGAAATGTTTGTTCAGAATAGGAGTTTATCTGACCTTACCATCAGGTGGAAAAGACACTGCTCTCAGCAACAGCTTTTGAATATTATGAAAGATAGCATGTGGTCAATATTGGGTTTTAATTTACAATTATACGTGTTTAACTGCCTGGTAGACAAAGCGTCTGATACGTTTGGTCAAAATAGTAATGAACACTATTCAACCTATTGAAAGATATCTTTCTCTTGATCAGGAAGGTTTACAATAATGGTTGGAGCAGGAAGTACAAAATCCTGCGTTGTTCCAAAACATAATTTTGTTCGCTATTGAAATATTGTATGTCACATGTCCAAATGCCTATGTCATATCACTTCCATGTCATCTCCTTTTAACGACCCCATAATCCCTTGTGGGGTAGAGTCGGGCAACTGAACGGAGCTGAGCGTTTACTGGCTGGATGCCCTTCCTATCACCAATGCAGAATTATATACAGAAGATATAAGATAAGATATAAGATTCTCTGAGAGAGAAATATTTGTATTTACCTAGGATTGAACTCACAGCCTCCTGATTGTGAGGCGAGAGCTTCACCCCTAGGCCCCTACACCACTACTCATATCACTTCCATGTGCTACATGGGAAATCCTTATTAAAAACGTGGTTACTAAACATGGCTTCTAAAACAACAGGGAAAATATATATAAACATTTGAGTTCCTGGAAGTCATAAAAAAATGGTAGAATCTCTCTAAGTAGAATAGTAGTAGAATAATAGAATCTCTCTAAGCTAAGAGGACAAGGACAAATGAAGAACTTCACCTCGCTGCGTATTTTCCAAAATTGAAAAGTGGGCAAGTGGGGTAATTCTACTCATTCTCTTTGCATAGGATTGCATTTTAGTTTTCCTAAAGAAACCCTTGTGATGTGTCTCTTGAAATTAAAACTCACTTCGTAAGTTAACATTAAAGGAAAAAAAATCAGTTCCCCGTGAAAGGATGGAACCTTCTCCAGTTGGGTAACTTGCAGGACCTTCAAATAGTTGTTTTCAATTCTGAATATTTATCTAGAATACAATAAGCCTTTAACATGTATTATGCTCTGAAGGTGCTAAAAGATCATGGACAAGACTTCCTTGTTGGAAAACAGCTTAGCAGAGCAGATGTTCAACTACTTGAAAGCATTTTGATGGTGGAAGAGTTGAAGGGAGACATTCTCTCAACATTTCCTCTATTAAAGGTAAGCAACTTCTCTTTGGCAAGCAATAGAAACATGCAGCAGAACCCTGAATCAAAATCCAATCAGATCCTGGATCCAAGTTCTCCAAATGGTGATGACAGAAGTGCAAGGCAGTTTGCTATACCATGCATAATAAGCTGTGGTCGTTTCAGCTGCCATTCAAAATCAATCTGCCAGTAATAATTATACCCCATAGTTAATTCCCCTGGTATGTTGACACACATCAGGCTGATTACGAAAGATAATGTGCAATTATTCTGGTATTAGACTTTCATTTGAATCTGGGTCTTTTTTTTCTCACTCACAGCAGTTACAACAAATTATTAAATTGCTGTCCTAATGGTTCAGCTGAAACATTTGCATGTAATATGCATAAGTCTCTACTACTTCACTTACATGATAAGTATACAACCTGTATACCATAGTTTAAAGCATCCTCAAAGCTTTAGATAACCTTCCCTATAAGCACCCTCAGATGTTTGTGACAGACGATAATAATGGTTATGTGCATGAGGTATAACCATGTTAACTAAATTTACATTTCAGTTAAAACCATTGTAGTCTCTGGTCTGCTTCTGCCAACTTAGAACCTGGCTTAAAATAAGAATAATATCTGCACAAGTCTAATGAACACAGAAACATTAATGTATATACATAATCACTTGGGATCAGTGGTGCTATTCTACCGGTTTGGCCTGGTTGTGGCGTACCGGTAGCGCCGAAGATCAGTGGAAACAAAGAGTGCCCACCAAGCCACGCCCACCGAATCGGTAGTAAACTATTTTGAAACACACCACTGCTTGGGATGCTCACATTTCAGCATACATAGAATTCTAGTTCTTTATATTATTAGTAATATTTTAATGTGTATCTTCAACTTTAATAGGTACAGGTAATATGGATAAGCTAAAATATATGAAAAAGGCTATTATTAGGCAAATGTACCTAGGTACTAGATAAATGTACCTAGGATCTCTAGGTGTTATGAGTTATAATTTTCATCTTCCATCATTGTTGAATTGCTGACTACAGCTATTGGCATTCAAAGCAAACCTGAGAGCCAGGTGGGTGCAGTGCTTAGACTTAGAGCATCAGGGTAAAAATCAGGAGATCACGAGTTCTATCCAGGGGTGGGATTCTACCAGTTCTGTCTGGTTCTATAGAACCCCTTGTTAACTTTCCAAGCAGTTCGGAGAACCGATAGTTAGAAGCAATCTCCTTTTGTTTTTTTCCACCATTCTTCTCAGTATGCCTAGACTTCCTGTCTCTGGAGCTTCTGGGACTTGACTTTCTTAAAGGGGAAGGGGTGTTTTAAGATTTTTACACTGCAGTTGGGAGGAAATACTTCCCTGGACAATCAGCACTTTGAAGAAATAATTGAATAATGAAGCAAAGTTTTTAGTGACAGGGAACCAAGATGAGTGACATTCAACAAGGCTTCTTGGCCAGCTAGAAATATTGACATTCAATTGTGAGTTTACATACCCTTTCTGAGTTTTGGTCTAAAACTGTTTTTTGGTGAAGGTTAATTCTGTGCTTGGTGACGTTTAATCCTGTGTTTATTGATGGGATAATTTTCCCTATTCAGCTTCAACAAGCTGAATATTGTTGTGATTTAATTATTTATATTGTTTTTGAATTTTTTCCTGCCTCATGCTTTCTTTTTCTATCTGGGGAGAGGGTCTTCCTTCACTGCTTTAGTGTTATCTGGCACTGTCCTTTTGGGGTGTACTTCTAAGAGGCAGGATGCAAGCTTGGCACTGATTTTTTTACTGCCTTTCTTGGGGACATGTGACCTTTTCTTAAATCTGGATGATTTCCTTAGGATATCTTGTGAGATGAGTGAGACCAGCTGGTATTTTTAAGTGCTGCAAATAGATCTAAGGATTGCTTTTCCTGGGTGTGCTTTTTCTGGAGAGCTTAGACCTCTTTGCTAAAGGGTTTCACTTTATGAGCAAGAGTTGGCTGCTTGATAGTTATCACTGTATTTTGACTATTTTCATTCCTTAAGGTGCTCTGGCACCCTGCCTGATTTGTAACGCCGGCTTGCAGGTATTTTTAATCTAATGATTGGTATTTAGGGCAGCTTTTTGCAAGCAAAGAAGCTTTTTGTATTTTTGTACAGGTAATTCTTGACTTACAACAGTTAATTTAGTGACCATTCAAAGTTAAAATGGCACTGAAAAAAGTGACTTATGACCATTTTTCACACTTATGACCGTTGCAGCATCCCCACTGTCATGAGAGGCCAGGCGAGGAGAAGCGCCCCTTGACATGAGTGATGTCGAGTTGGCCAGGCCCACCCAGTCACATGAGCACCAATCCACACCCACCAACTAAGCCACGCCCACAGAACCGGTTGTTAAAATTAAACTGAATCCCACCCCTGGTTCTATCCTGCTTTAGGTACGAAGCCAGCTACGTAACCTTGGGCCAGTCATTGTCCCTCAGCCTTAAGAAGCAGACAAACGCAAACAACTTCTGAAAACATTGCTTAAAAACCCTGCAAATATTTCTCCAGGCAGTCACAGGGTATCAACACGTACTCAAAAACATACACACAAAGCAAATCTTTTAACCAATTGTATTGTGCAAGCCTCTGTTGACACATAAACCTCACTTGATTATTACAATTTGCAACTGAGATCAAGTAGCAGAATTCAAGGACCCTTCAAAACATAGTATTTCTGTTATTCAGATGAAAACGTTTACTCAGCAATGTCATTTTAAAAAAATAAAAACCTAAAAAATCATTTTTTCCCCTTCTAAACTTTTCCCCCCTTTTCTTCTTTTTCAGGCTTTTAAAGGGAGGATAAGTAACATCCCCACAATTAAGAAATTTTTGCAGCCTGGCAGTGCACGAAAACCTCCAATGGATGAGAAAATGGTAGCTGAAGCAATGAAAATATTCCACTAAATTTGGGCTGGGAATCTGGGGCCATTCACTACTGTAGATAGAAATGTCAACGTTAGATGGGGCAATAACTGTATGTCAAGTGATTGTAAGGGACTATAACTGTGCAGGCCTGTATTTCAGGATCAATCCACATAATTACAGTGGAAGGATCAAGATGTGAGCTTCAATAGAAAGATCAGGATGTGTAAAGATAAGACTTTGCCATAAAACTAACCTGAAATAAAACATTCTGAACCAATATAGTATATATTTATTTGTTTATGTAATTGTGGGCACATCCCTTCCAAATTAAGCAGTCAATAATGTACCTAAATTGACACATTTGCCACATTGAAGATGAATTTGGGAAACTGGGAGACAGGGGAGGATGGGGTGAACTGGTATGCTGTGGGTTCTCAAAGAATCAGACATGACTTATTAACCAAATAACAAGGTGTCTGATCTTCCATTAACACCTTACGAACCCATTAGCTGCCCAGAGCTGCTTGGTAGAAAGATGAGCAGCAAACAAACAAATTAATTAATTAATTAATATTTCCTAGTAATGGTTACCACCAAATAAGGGGGTATCAGGAACAGAACGCATTCAGCTCTACAAGGCAGCAGGTTTGATTTGGCTGGAGATGTCAAAAGATTCTGGCCAATTGTGATATGACCAGTAAAACATGACTAACCAAACTGGGGTGTAGTGAAATGTGGAAACCCTTTCATTGTGTTTTGTCCATCATAATTATTAGCTGATTGAGCTTGGGTTCCATGTAAGTTTATGTTGCAATTAATTACAGTCATTTTAAAGAACTATAACACTTTTTATCATTTCACAATGGCAACTGAATGAAAAATTGCTGGTGACCTTCTACCGCTGCACCATAGAGAGCATTTTAACATACTGCACCTCTGTATGGTTTGCCAATTGCACAGTGGCAGATAGGAAAGCACTCCAGAGGGTTAATGTCATTGCCCAGAAGATCATTGGTTGCCCTCTCCCCTCTTTGGAAGAGCTTTATAGCTCCCGCTGCCTTAAGAAAGTTCAAAATATTCTCAAAGATTCATCTCATCCTGGGCACCCTTTTTTTAAAACAATTACCATCTGGCAGACGGTACAGAATAATAAAAACAAGGACAAATAGGCTGAAAAACAGGTTCTATCCCAGGGCAGTAGCTCTTTTGAATTCTGCTGTATAGTGCAGTGTTGGTGTGGTGTCGGGGCTTTCTGGTTGAATGTGTGAAGGGTGAAGGATGTGTCTTTGTGTTTATTTTCATGCTTATGGTTATGATGTGCAATGAAGATGGTGTTTGATTTCGTTGTACAAGGTGCAATGACAATAAACTAAACTAAACTAAACTAAACAAATTATCATGATGTAGAAACTCTGATCTATTCAACAATCACCACTTGAGCTTCCCTTCTTAAGATACTATGGACATTTGACCATATAGTCAGAATCTAGAAATGGTTCAATAAAACCCAGTAAGATGCCCTTAGGATGTTTCAGAACTTCCATCAGCCTCACCCAATATGATTAAGCCCAAAATATTGGGCAAGCATGTAGCTATCTGTGAAAATCTATATATTACCAAAACTCTTGTCATGACCTTTCACTGGATGAAACAACATATCACAGGGCAACCCATTTTTGAACCAAGGTACCGCAAATGAGCTAACTTACAGAATGTGTCCAAAATCTGGGACCCCTGATGTCTGAAGAAATGACATTTGGAAAAGTTGTGGCTGCTTCAGACCAACTCTCTCCTGCTGCGCTGCTGGGCCGCTGAAATCAGCTGATCGTCATTGTCAACATTCTGTGACAGTTTCCCAGCCAGTCTCACAATCCCTCACTCTCTTCTCCCACCAAAGAGCAGCCATTGATGTGCCTGCTGGAAAGGGGAAGAGAATGGGATTTCTGATGCTCCCTGCCAATTTCCCACAAGGAAACTCAACGGGGAGGGATTCAGAAGTCATTCCTGTTCCCATTGCTTTTCTTCCCTCCCTTGGTCTTGTTTCTCTGTTAAGATAAGGAAATATCTCTATATCACAATGACACAGCAGGGCATGGTTGTCTAGTAAACTATATAACGAAAAGACACCTTCCACTTGACTTCAGCTCCTGGTAGCTGTATGGATACTTGATTGCATTTCACTAGAGCAGCAGTTCCTTGCACACTAACAGTAACCAATATATTTACCTCATTTTTGCGTACATTTATATACAACTTACGTACAGAAGTCATGTGCACGAGTTCTTAAGAAGAGAGAGCAGCTTGGACAGCAACAATAGCATGTGAAAAGACCGCTTCTGAACAAGAGGACCGAACTGTCCTTCATTGTGTATCCTGAAGCTAACACCATGTTTAACCACTGCGTGAAAAAATTAGCATGATGCACAGCAGAAGCTACAGCTGGAAATGCAGGTGCAGAAAAACTATGGAGGTCACAGGAAAGGCATTTCTCAGCTGATAGATCAGTTTCTCACCCAACTTGTTTTGCACCTGCTCAGCACAATGGTTATAAAACTTTACAAGCCAGCCCCTTGGCAAGGACGTGCCATGGCAGAACACAGCATATTGTACAAACTTGTTGTCCATTGCAAGGAACATTGCATGTTTACTCCCTAGATATTTACTTTTAGTAAAGCTTGGGATGATCACACTAGTTTTCATGTCCTCTTGGAAATTTCACATGGATATTGCCTGGAGGACATTTACTCCAGTGTATTTGCTAACACTAGTAAATAGCTTTATTTATTAAATAAATAAATTTAGATAGCCACCCAGCTCACACACAATGACTCTGGGTGGCATAGAGGTAATCCTTGACTTATGACCACAATTGAACCCAAAATTTCTGTTGCTAAGCTAGACACTTGTTAAGCGAGTTTTGCCCCATTTTACAACCTTTCCTATCACAGTTGTTAAGAGAATCACATGACCGTAGGACTGTACAACCATAATAAATATGTGCAAGTTGCCAAGCATCTGAATTTTGATCATGTGACCAAGGGATCCTGCAACAGTCGTAAGTGTGAAAAGCTGTCGTAAGTCATATTTTTCAGTACTGTTGTAATTCAAATGGTCACTAAATCAGGAGTCGCCAACCTTTTGGACATCAGGGATCACCAAACTCATGATTTTAAATCCTGTGGACCAGAGACTCTGGGAAAATCCCCCAAAAAGTCTGCAGGAAAATTCCCCACCCCGTTTTCCTACCGATCAATTGTTCTTTATTTTGGATCGTAGGATACTGTCTCCAGCTCCATTCTCAGGGAGAGAGAGACAGAGAGAGACTTTTGGCTTCATGCAAGGAAAGCAGCAGAAGCAGCAAAAGTCTTTATTTCTCTCCCCCAAACTCTGCCAGAAATGAGTCTTTGCTGGCGCAGCCTCTTGGAGCAGGATGCCTTGCAGGGTTTCAAAGACTCATTTCTGGTGGAGTTTGGGGCACGTGGGGCAAGTTCCCCCCTGCCCTTTCCCTCCCTCCCCTCACTACCTCATGTTGTTTGCAATGCAAGGGATGCAAACCTTGTATTCCTGCAGGCCATGTGGGCAGCGCAGCCTTGTGTTCCCACACAGCCTGGATTAATTGCTTTGGGGGTGACATTTCTCTGTGGACCACCAACATTTTCTCATGGCCCACCAGTGGTCCCTGGCCCACTGGTTGGCGACCACTGCATTAAATGAATGGTTGTAAGGACCATGTACAGCAGGGGTCCCCAACCGCCGGTCCGCGGACCGGTACCGGTCCGCGGAACAAGTCTTACCGGGCCACTGGTTGCTGGGCGCCGCCATCTTTTTTTGGTAAAAAAGTGCTTCCGGTGAGCTTTTCCGGGTAGAAAGCTCACCGGAAGCACTTTTTCATCAAAAAAAGATGGCGGCGCCAGCGCTTCCGGTGAGCTTTTCTGGGTAGAAAGCCATTTTCTGGGTAGAAAGCTCCGCCATCTTTTTTGACGAAAAAGTGCTTCCGGTGAGGTCACCAGAAGCACTTTTTCGTCAAAAAAAGATGGCGGCGCCCAGTTGATGCCGGTACCGGGCCGCGGCGCCCAGCTGATGCCGGTACCGGGCCGCGGCGTCAAAAAGGTTGGGGATCACTGATGTACAGGACTACCTGTACAAATTTTAAAATTCACAGTTAAAAATTCACAATACTGCTGCTCGTGGCTGAAGAGGACCTCAGATGTGGCTTTGTTCCATGGACCTGGCTCTTGCAGAGGTTGTGAATGCCTTATCTGGATTTGCCCACAGTTAGTGTTTGCCAAATGATTTGTGTTACTTGGACATTATCCCACACACCCAGGAGCCTCTCACAGAAAAGCACCAGAGTTTCTCATTTCATAACCGTGACCGACACAAAATAGATTCTTTCATATACACATATCCTGTATTAAAGGAGATGTGCCTAGGCATGCATCGATTTATTTATCTTTTCAATTTCTAAGGCCACCTGCTCACTTCAACATTTAAGCACGCAAGTCTGTTTTCATGCATCATCACACCATTGTCAAGAAACACATTGTGTAATATCTGGGCACTTCTTCTCAGATGCCATAGCCTTTTGGAGCATGGAGCTGCCTCAAGAGAAATGTGAACTGAGGTTTAAGGGGCAATACAATGGAGACAATACAATGACCCAGAGGCAGGCTCCCCTCTTCTATAGGTTTGCTTTGTCTGATCTTCTGCAACTTGGAAGCGGTACTAATAATAAGCCAAATGTCTGGGGAGAAAGAACGCTTGTAAGATTAGCAGCTGAATAGGACCAAGGCCAATAGCTTAGCAAATTTGAGACCTGAGTTTCCTTGCCAAATCCATGGCTGATCCATCTTCAGGGTCACCTTTGAACTATTTATTGAAAGATGTGCATTCCTGAACTGGGCAAGGAAGTGGACATAAAAACCTGCAAAGTTCCTCCAATCCTTTGATTCTATGATTGCCTCTTTGAATATCTGGAGGCTGAACCCTTGTTTTTCCAATTGTTTTCTGTCATGGAGAAGATCAATCTATGTGGCTGCTAGGAGGTACAGAATCAATTAATTAAACTAATTCCACAGAAATCTAGAATTCCAACAGAATTTGATGGTAAATGTAGTTAAAGGTATCCTGGGAAATGTAGTTCATGTCATGTGGCCACATCTGCAATCTTGATTGGTCACTAAACTGACCCTCGAGGGGTTGAGGAAGGTTTCCTTCATTCTTGCCTGGACTCATGAACTGATAAGCAGCTTATCGCTACGAGAGGGGTTAGGAAATAA